GGATTACAGGCTCTTGGTTTTCCCTCCCTCCCTTCCTTCCTTCCTCCCTCCCGTAATCCCAGTGGCTCAGGAGGATCCCGAATTCAAAGGCTGAGGAATTTAGCAAGGTGCTTAGCAACTCAGTGAGACACTGTCTAAATAAAATACAAAATAGGGCTGGGGATAGGGCTGGGGATGTGGCTCAGTAGTTCAATGTCCCTGAGTTTAATCCCCAGTACAAAAAAAAATAAAGGCGGGTGGGTGCTGGGGGTGTAGCTAAGTGATAGAGCATTTGCCTAGCCTGCTGGAGGCCCTGGATTCAATCCCAGGAAATATAAAAATAAATAAATGAATAAAAATAAGGCAATGGGTCCAAATGATTTAGGTACAGATTGAACCTTTTATACATTACACAAAAGATCAATGAGATCATGGGTTGCCATCCTACTTCAGACAAACTTGTACTAGTTTTGTTAAAACTGAATTGATTACTTTCTTAATTTCTGCCCCCTGCTAAGTAAAAAATTGTATGCACACGTTCTAAGAACAGTTTTACATCAGAAAGTTGACGATGTTTGTGTTACAATCCAAAAATATGAAAAATAGCTAGATATTGTTTTCCAAAAATAAATTTTAAGGTGAGCATTTTATTCTTGGCTCTTACCTGAAGACACATCCATGAATAGATGAAGTCCCATTAGACCACAGATATCCCTCCAGCATCCCATCCCTCCGTGGGTCAGTCCTAGCCCCAGTGGAAAGATGACACCTGTAGGGACAAGGCCTGTGGCCTTGGTGAGGGTGGGTGTCAGAATGGTACTGCTACCTGCTGCAGGAAGATCTGTTGGCACCAAGGAGCTTGTAGCTAGCTGGTTCTGGGACAGGCAGGGCTCCTGTCAACATGCTGRGATGGCACAGGAGGACCCTCACATTTCCAACTTAAAGGTTTCCTTCTCCCTCTGGGGAGCTTCTTTTTCTCTTTAGAACTGTGAGGAAGTCTGGCATCTGAGGCTCAGTACTGTCTGTACAAAGCACCTTGCAGGGCTCAGGAATCTGCAGAGGAGAGGGTCCACCCCTAGTGATGCTTCTCATGCCCACTGGGGGCCTAGCCTCAGGGCCCTTGAGCCTCTCCGTGTGCACTGCACCTTTGGTAGGACATGGAACTGACAGGAAAACCAATTGTTTTGGATCCATTACTTTCTATTTTTTAGAGCTTTTTTTGGTTATGTGTTTTTACAGTCTGGACCACTGGTCCTTTTCTTTGAGGTCATGGATACCTTGCATGGCACTTTTCTGTCAAGTCAATGTCACTGAGATCTGAGAAGAGAGAGGTATGTGCTATTGTTTTGTTTTGTTTTTGTTTTTAACCTTAAATTTGTCTTAAATTGGAAGTAAAAAAAAGCATATTCCTAAAGATTTTTTAATCTTTTATGAATTTGAAAATGAAAAGCATTTATTCACATGTCTTCATATGGCCACTAGAGGGTTCCAAAGATTGTAGTAAAGGGAAATCAATGAGGAATTAGAAATTGTAGAACATATATGGAAAATGTGTTCRTTCATTTAAAACTTGCTATCTTAGCACCCTGGGCTACTCACCTTGGTTTCCTGGTTGTCAGACTCCTTGCATTAGCCTCTTGTCCCCTGCCATACTTCCTCTAAGCTTGGCTGCAAATGAATCATATTCCAAGAATTTTTAAGTCAAGCATTTACAAAATGAAATGTGTTCTCCTACAGAGGGAGTAATATCACCAGTCCCTGGTATTGAGGAAGAATCTTGAAAACCTTAAATAGGTGCACTTTAAAAATTCATCTTAAGAAAATGAAAAGATATAAAAATATTTGTACAAGTTGGAGCTGATGAAAGATTGTTATCCAAAATAAATAACTCTTAACACTCAATAGTAAGAAAAAAAGCCTCATTAAAAAATGGGCTAAAGTGGAAGACTGAGGCAGGAGGATCACAAGTTCAAAGCTACCCTTAGCAACTTAGCAAAACCCTAAGCAACTCAGTGAGACCCTGTCTCTAAATAAAATATATAAAGGGCTGGAGTTGTGGCTCAGTGGTAGAGCACTTGCCTAGCATCTGTGAGGCACTGGGTTCAATTGCCAGTACCACATTAAAAAACCAAAACTAAATAAACAAAAAAAGGGGCTAGGGATATGGCTCTGTGGTTAAGCACCCTTGGATTCAATCTCTAGTACCAAAAAAAAAAAAAATGAGGGGAGAAAAGACTTGAACACATCTCCCTAAAGAAGATAGAAGGCAAAAACATGGAAAGATACTCCACATCATGTCATCAGAGGAATGAGGATTCAAACAATGCAGTACTCACCACCATACCCCATTCAAATGACCCAAACCAGAACATTGCTGTCATATGTCACATGCAGACAAGAAGGGGAGCAACAGAAACTGGTTGATAGCTGGCAGGACTACAAAACCTTATAACTACTTTGGAAGACTCTGGGGCAAATGTTTTTTTTTTGTTTGTTTTTTGGTTTTTTTTGGTACTGAGGATTGAACCGAAGGATGCTTCATCACTGAATCACATCCCCAGTTCTTTTTATTTATTTTTTTATTTTGAGCAGGGTCTTGCCAAGCTGCTGAGGATCTCACTGTGTTACTGAGGCTAGCCTCAAACTTGCAACCCTACTGCCTCAGTCTTCTGAGTCACTGTGAGATTACAAGCGTGTACCACTGTGCCCAGCCAGTTTGGCACTTAACAAAAGTAGACATACCATATAATCCAGAATGGGCTTTCTGGTATTTATCCAAAGGAGGTGAAAACCTAGTTCCACACAAAAACCTGTGTATGAATATTCATAGCAGCTTTATTTATAATTGCCAAAACCTGGAGGCAATTATAAACCAGTGAATGTCCAGATGATGGAATAGTATTCAGTGCTAAAAAGAAATGAGCATCAAGCCATGTAAAGACATAGAAGAAACTTAATACATACCAGAAAGTTAAAGAAGCCAAGCTGAAACGGTCACATACTATGATTCCAACTATATATATACCCTTCTGGAAAATGCAAAGCCAGAACAATGAAAAGATCAGCTGTTTCCAGGGATTACACAGGAGACAGGAGCATAAAGGATTTTTAGCATAGTGAAAATATTTTGTATGGTACTATAATACTAAATACATGTCATTATACATTTGCCAAAACCCATAGAATATACTACATCAAAAATGAAGCCAAATATAAACTTTGAATTTTGGGTTGTCACCAGAGAAATCACCAGAAGTGAGACTCAAAGAATTCTTGGAGAAGAGGGGAGCTCAACTCAGGAAAAGTGAAGTCCTTAACCTACGTGGCCAATATTGATTTCCAGGGTGTATCAGTAAAGGCACGGACAGTGATTCATTAGGAAACCAGATGCACATTCAAGGGAGAACGTGGGCTATTTCCAAGAGAAAGATGTCTTTTAGGATAAACCAAGAAATATACATTAGAGAATGTGGGCCATCTAAAGATTGAAACAAATTTTGGGGTTCCCACTTCCTTTTTTAAAGGAAACTTGGTGAGGGCTGTGTATGGGAAGGAATGTAGGAATCATCAGTCTGGTGATCACAAGATTGTTTATGATTGTTTCTAAGATCATTCTTAGAATTCTTAGGCTGATATGGTCTCAATTATCTGATCAATTAACACTGGAAAGTCCCCTAAATTTTAGGTTTTCTTAAAATATCTTCCGTTTGCTTAATGTATTAGTGGGCTAATTAACAGTGCATAAGGTAATTATAAGTAAGGGAATTTATGGTTAACTGTTCAGATGTCCCAGAAATTTGGGAGTGACAGATCTGGGCTAGAGCTTGGCTTCAGGAGTGACAAGCTTGGAAAGGTAGGCAGAAACCTCAGGTTAAAATTAGATTTCCGGGCTTGGGAAATAGCTCAGTTGGTAGCATACTTACCTGCCATGTACAAGGCCCTGGATTCAATCCCCGGCACCACAACAAAAAAACAAATTTCTTTGCTTTTCCCTCCCTCCCTCCCTCCCTCCCTTTCTTTCTTTCTCAGGGGCACTCAACCACTAAGCCACATCCCCAGCCTTATTTTGTATTTTATTTAGAGACAGGGTCTCACTGAGTTGCTCAGTGCCTCCCCATTGTGGAGGCTGGCTTTGAAAACTCGCAATTCTCCTGCCTCAGCCTCCCGAGCCACTGGCATTACAGGAATGCGCCACTGCACCCAGCTTCCTTGCCCTTTCTTTAGGATTTCTTTCTGGTTTTTGTTTCTTCTATCCCACCTTAGGGGAATAATGATGTGCCGATGTGGGCTTGCCATTATAACTACCCATCACCTTAGAAAGGGCTGTTGATAATGGGGCACATAGGCTACGTGTGCCTGGAGCTCGATTTTGTTGTGAACCTGAAACTGCTGGGGAGAAAAGTCTAAAGTTTAAAAATCAACGACAGAATAAGCAAATTGAATAAGAATTATTTTTGAAAGTTTGCTAGGTTTTGTTTTTGTTTTTTTTAGAAAAACCAGATTTAAATGAAAGAAAAAATAGAAAATAAATTTTAGAAAATTTCTAAGGATGCATTTGTGTTTTTAGATACTGGTTCCTTATTACAAGAACAGATTATTGGTCATCTTTTTTCCTTGATATGAATTTTCACTGTTCTCAAACGTAACAATGAGTGAGGTCATCAGGTGTTTACAAGTGAAATGAGAAGAAAAGCAAAGCAAAGAGATTCTCCCAAGATCACTGAGCAAAAAACGAAGGGAGAAGGTCGAAAAAGGAAGTAGGGAGTAAAAGGCAATGAAGGAGTTGGACAGAGGAGGCACTCCTTTCTCGGGCAGCTGGACTGGTAACACTGCACGCAGACACCAGCCTGCAGCAGGCAGTAATTGCAAGCCCCGCTGCACCTGCCGCCCCCTCGCCTTGCTCTGCACACGTCCAAGATGGTGCCGGGTGAAGCAGCCGCACAGTTCCGAGCTCCCTCCCCAAGCGGCGCGGGCGCAGGCGCGCAGGCGCGGCGCGGCCTCCCTCCCGCCCTCGGCGAACCGCGCCTGCGCCGTGGGGAGCCGCCGGCGGCGAGGCTCTGGGCCGCCGCAGTCTCGATCTGAAGGCGGCCGCGGCGGTAGTCTTGAGTAAGATGAGGTTTCTGCTGCTTCTCCTGGTGGCGGCGTCGGCGGTGGCCCGGAGCGAGGCCTCGGCCAACCTGGGCGGCGTGCCCAGCAAGAGGTTAAAGATGCAGTACGCTACGGGGCCGCTGCTCAAGTTCCAGATTTGGTGAGTGATGCGTCGGCCCTGGCGTCGCGCTTTACGCGAGGTCCCGGCTTCACGGCCTAGACGCCGCGTCTCCGCTGCGTCTTCCCGGCGCCCCTCCGCAGTGGGCCCCTGGTGGGCCGCCGCGGCCGCGTTCGGATCCCGAGTACAACCGCTCGCTTGCCTTCTGCCGGCTGGGAAGGCGGGACGGGGCGGGAGGGCGCGAGAAGGGTGGACGCTGCGGGCGCGGACAAGGGCCGCTGGCGGTGTCACGCGGAGCCCACGCCGGCGTTCAGCGCAGCGGGTGCGGCTTGTCACCCGCCGGGGCCGACCCGGAGCGCCGGGCCTCAGTGACCGCGGCGGCCCTGGGTGGGAGCCGTTGCTCGAGCGGCGGGACGGTTCGCCCGGCCGCGGTGCCCGGGCGGCGGTGCCCGGTTTGCGGGCGGCGGCTGGGTCGCAAGGTGGGGACCGCCCCGCGCCCGCGGAGCCCTAGCCTTTGGAATGTCGGCGTTGCCCGAGTTCGTCCCAAATCGCTTCCCAGCCCCTTGCTTGGGTCGGTCCCCGAGTCCGGTGCCGCGCCTTCCACCTGCGTTTGGCCTCATCACTGAAAACCAAGGATTTTTTTTTTTTTTTTTTTTTAAGTTTGTGACATTTGAACCAGAGTCAAAATAAGATGGTGAAACTATTTTTGGAATGAAAACTGTTAATTTATTTCTGGTTACAAGAATCACAAAAAAACATTATGGTTAATTGTGTGCTTGGAATATGTCATATTTCATATAATAACTAAGAAATGACAGTAGGGTCTGAGGGTGTGTGCGCGTCCTGGAGAGCCAACCAGGACCTAGCCATGCGGAGCACACACTCTACTTTTTTTTTTTTTTTTTTAATTAGAAAGTGGTGATCATTTTAACAACCTAAAAGATTGTTAAGGATTAAGTGTGAAAGTGGTTTTAAAAAGAGTGCTCTTGGGCTGGGAATGTGGCTCAGGCGGTAGCGCGCTCGYCTGGCATGCGTGCGGCCCCKGTTCGATCCTCAGCACCACATACCAACAAAGATGTTGTGTCCGCCGAGAACTAAAAAATAAATATTAAAAATTCTCTCTCTCTCTCTCTCTCTCTCTCTCTCTCTCTCTCTCTCTCTCTCCTCTCTCTCTCTCTTTAAAAAAAAAAAAAGAGTGCTCTTTTCTAGTTATATTTTTCTGTATTCTACTGTCCTATTTCTTGCTTGTGCTTTTGCCTTTTCAAAATACTCTTCTTTTAGATTTTCATGCACTGGAATTCTTGTTACAGTTTAAGGTGTACCTTCTACTGAAAGTATTCATAACAAGGTTTTCAAAATATGTAAGCAAAATATAGGGCAGGGCACACAGGCCTTCATATGAAGGTTTTTTTGGTTGGTTGTTTTTGTGGTACTAAGGATTGAACCCAGGGCCTTATACATGCTAGGCAAACTGTACCACTGAGCTACATGCCCAGCCCTTTTTCAGTTTAATAGGTGGTCTCCTTCAGTGGCTCCGGCTGGCCTTGGACTTGTTTTTCTCCTTTCATCAGCCTTCTGAGTATGTGTATAACCATGAAGGGAAAGGAGAGGAAGCTAATGTCGTTCAGGATAAAATGCATGAAAAATGAAATTTCGTTTGAAATCTCAGTGCTATGGAATGCGGTTTTTCTTAACATTTATGAAAGCACTACTTTTACTTTCAATTGATTTAGTTTGCTCTGTGTTTTGAATTTATTAGATGTAGTTTTTGCTAAATACCTATAGTTCAACATATCTGGTAATTACGCCATTTTTATAGTTGTAGAATGAAATAGCAGTACATCACACAATGGAATCAAATTGGGGAGAGGTCAAGCTTGTGACAGCATTTCCTACTCTGTGTTCATATATACTTTATGAATAAATTTATTAGTACTCAAAAGATTTCCTGGTGAATGAGACAGGTGTGATACCTCATAAAGTTTGCAAAAATGGTTCAGTATTATTCTTTGTAWCTGAGTCTTTGGCTTTTTTGTTGGTTGATTGAACGATGAAATTTGGTAATTTTGAAGACATTGATTTTATATTTGTGAAAAATTTGACCCGGTTATTTAGGTTACTAAGCATTGAAAGGAAGTTCTTGCCCAGCACAGTGGTCACCTGTAATCTCAGCTATTTAGAAGGCTGTCCCAGGAGGATTGCAAATTTAAGGCCAGCTTGGGCAATCCTATCTCAAAATAAAATAAAAAGGGCTAGGGATGTAGCTCAGTGGTCATGCACATGCCTTGCATGTGTGAGGCCCACCGAAGCACCACACTTGCATAAAAGCCTTCTCTAATAGAGCTTACAGTTCCCTTGTTAACTTTGCTTTGCATTTTATGTGTGTATTCAAAGGGATGATATTTGGCATGTGTTTATTTTTTCCATGTATATGATTTAACATGTAATCAAATCTGTAGTTGCTGCAGTTTAAAGAGATTACTGACTACAACCTTTACAGTTGATGTTTACTTGAACATGTGACARTTGGATTACTACTGAGAAAAGTAGGTTAAATAAAGTTAAGATTTCAAAACATAAGCAGAATATGGCAGAATTGTCAAATTTTGTTAATTACCCACTGCTGTAATTGTAGGACATCCAAGTTCTAACTGCAGTTTAGGTGGTATGAGAGTAATCTAGTTGGGATCAGGAAGCAAATTTTGAACTGGGATTCAAGTGATAAGATTTATTTGGAATGAGCTTTGTAGGTAATGGGAATAATGGACAGTGGCAGGAAAGAACAGAGTTTACATGAGAAGCCCAGCTGACTTCAAAGAGCAAGAGGCATAGATAGGACTTTGAGTGTCTGTCAGGCCCTGTGTGAGAGAGACCAGCTAGCTTCATTATGGGARGGCATGGAGTGGGGCTTCTGGAGTTGTCAATGGAAGAGATGATGGAGCTTGGGTTAGGGAGCTGTTCCGGCTAATGCATAGAGGTTTGAGAGCTCTCTGGGAGATAAATTTAGCAGCTGTGGGTGATGAATTACAATTGGCCCTCTGTAACTGTGGGCTGCATATCTATGGATTCAGCCAACCTTGGATCAAAAATATCTGAGGGGGAAAAGTGGCATGTGTACTGAACACATACACAAGTTTTTCTTATCATCATGCCCTACAGCACAACTATTAACAGCAGTGATACTTTTAGGTACTGTAAGTCATCTAGAGGTGACTCAAAGTATACAGGGGTGTGTGGGTAGTTGTATGCAAATACTACACTGTTTTATATAAGAGACTTGCACATCTGCAGATTTTTGGTATTGGGGGGCAAGTCTTGGAACCAATCCCCCCCACCCCCCAAGGATATTGGAGAGATGTCCTGAAKCGAGAACTGTCCAAGATGATTTCTGACTTTGGCGATGATGCTATGCCATTCCCCAGAATGAAGACAAAAGTTTTTTGGTGAGAAGGAAGAGGAGGAGTCTTGATTCATTTTTATCTACTTATTTCTTAAAGTGTTGGGGATTGCACCTAGTAGACAAGTCTCACATTCCCAGTCCTTTTTATAATTGTTTATATTTTAAGAGAGGGTCTTGCTCAGTAGCTCAGGTTGGCCTCAAGATTGAATCCCCCTTGCCTTAGCCTCCCTAGTAGCTGGGATTATAGCTGTGCTCCACTGTACCTGGGTTTGGAATCCTGAACTTTGAAAACGTAATAGTCTGAACAAAAACTCCACAAAGAAATGTTAATCATTCCAGAATACCTGTAGTAACAAACTAGAAAAGTTAAGTTAGCAGATGCTGTATTTCACCAAACCAAAGATACAAAGGATTGTTGGATGCACTATTATTTTATATATCATTTAGAAAGAAAATATACTATCATTTATGTCACAGTAATGGTCATAAGATAAATCCTGTGGGTTTTAATTTTGTTTCTTTTTTTTTTTAAAGATGGTAACTATAGGAAAATATGCATCTTGGAATCAAATAACAGCAGACTATTATTAGTAGTAGAATGTCAGAGAAAAAAATGGTAGTGGCTACACCTATTGATGGTTTAGATTTTTAAAATTTTATAAAGTTTATATGGAATTTATAATTTTGTTTGCTTTGAGTTTTTTGCCTTTTTTTTTAACAGAACAGAAAGCTGCAACATCTAATTGAACATTGTGCACATAATAGTTGTCTCTCCTTAATAATGAATGAAGTGCTTAGTTCAAAGCTTTTAGATGTAGGTAAAATATGACTGAATGATTTTAAAGTTTCATATTCTATTACAGAAAATTGAAACATCATTTTCTTACAGTTTGCCATTAGATGACTGTTAGAAAATCAAGTCAAATGTATCATGTGAAAATTCAGGATAGGGCTGGGGTTGTGGCTCAGTGGTAGAGCACTTGCCTCACACATATGAGGCACTGGGTTCGATCCTCAGCACCAATTTAAAAAAAATAAATAAGCAAAATAAAGTTACTGTGTCCATCTACAACTAAAAATATATTTTTTTTAAATCCAGGATATCCCTATAAATTTTGACTATCTTGAACAGGAACCGTTCATTTTCTGGACTAGCAGTTTGGAGACCAGGTTCTTATTCTGTCTAACCCTTATGCTCTGAGTAATGTTTGGTAAATGAGTCATCTCATCAGCACTCAGCTTGTTCATCTGTATAATGAGAGAATGTTGGTTGCTTTCCGTTTACCTCTGATGTTCTATGTTGTACTGTTAGAAGACTTAAAGGAAGAAAGTGAAAGCACATATATTTGTTTATCTTCTTTTCTCTCTTTGTCACTTAAGAGTGTAGTTGGAGTCCTCTGGCTTCTCTGATGGTCACTTTCCCTGTTTTCCTAAAAGGGCAGTCTTGTTTTCACATTCCTCCTCATGACAGGTGCAGCTTGGAATTGCTGAGGAAGACTTCTTGTTATGTAGGTTTTGCTTCGAACCACTGATAATCGTTTCTCTTAGTGATAGTGACATACAAACTWTTTTGCTTATGCTTCCTTTTCCCATGCCATTTATTTACCCCCTTTTTTTCAATTCTTAGGAAGATGTGATTTTT